ATGGGGGAACACTAGAAACAATGGCCACAAACTCCTGGAAGATAGTTTCAGGCTGAACATTAGGAAAAACTTCTTCACAACTAGGGTATCCAGACTATGGAACAGACTCCCCCCAGAGGTGATGCAATCATTTACCCTAGAGGTCTTCAAGAGAAGACTGGACGGTCACCTGGCTGGGGTCGTCTGACCCCAGATGTCTTTCCTCCTCATGAAGGGGGCTGGACCTGATGATCCTTCGGGGTCCCTTCCAGCCCTATGATTCTATGACTGGGAAGTTGGGCTAGAGCTAAAAGGATGAAGTTCAGTGTGGACAAATGTAAGGCGCTGCACCTCAGGAAGAATCATCAAAAACAAAAATACAAAATGGGGACACCTGGCTACATGGGAGCTCTATGGAAAAGGGTTGGGAATCTTGGTAGACCACAGACTCAGTAAGAGTCTTCAGTGTGATGCAGCTGGACAAAAGGCAAATGCCATTTTGTACTGCCTCAACAGAAGCATTAGGTGCAAGACATGGGAGGCGCTAGTGAGGTAATAACTAGCTCAGGCTCCCTAAGGAGCCAGGTCCCCAACACATGGGGAGCCTTTGCCACCCCTATGAAAACCTACAATGTGACGACAGGGGGAAAGGAGAAGGAAGATGGCAGAAGGGATGGCAGAAGTGGACACGCCGGAGGGCAGGGAACAGCTGCAAGCAGACCTGGACAGGTTGGACAAGTGGGCAGAAAACAACAGAAGTCAGTTCAACAAGGAGAAATGCAAAGTCCTGCACCTAGGGAGGAAAAATGTCCAGCACACCTACAGCCTAGGGAATGACCTGCTGGGTGGCACGGAAGTGGAAAGGGATCTGGGAGTCCTAGTGGAGTCCAAGATGAACGTGAGTCGGCAGTGTGACGAAGCCATCAGAAAAGCCAATGGCACTTTATCGTGCATCAGCAGATGCATGACGAATAGGTCCAAGGAGGTGATACTTCCCCTCTATCGGGCGCTGGTCAGACTGCAGTTGGAGTACTGCGTGCAATTCTG